ATATATATATATGTATATATTTATAAAGATAAGTTAATAAATATAAGTAATAAAAAATCAGTTAATTAAGAAATTATTAAATAATAATATAATCAATAATAATAAAATTTTATACTTAAATTTTAGAACAAGTATTTTTTTTAAATATTTTTATATAATTTTTTTTTAAAAAATAAATAAAAAGAAATATTATATAATAAAATCCAAATATGTTTACTAGATATGTTTGATATTTTTTTATTAGATAAAAATTATTTATGTATAATATTATAGATATATAATTTAAATTTTTAAAAGATATAATTTTTTATTTTATTTTCCTATATTTTTATAAAATTTTTATTCATATACTAATTAAAAAAATTATATTTTTTTAATGTCTATATTATTAAATTTTATTTTAATCAAAATATATTTATTAAATTTCATATATGTAGTTTATAAAAAAGAAATTTGAAAAACTTAAATTTTAAATATTTTTTATTTAACTTAATAATATAAAAAGATATATAAATTTATATCTTATTTTATATAAATCAATTTTTATTTAAATTATAAAGAAATCTAATTTTTTTTATATCTTAAATTTCTGTATTATAAATAGAAATATTATTTCTTATATATATATATATTAAAAAATATGAAATAAGGATTTTTTTTAAACTTTTATTCAATATTATTTAAAAATGTATAAAAAATAATTTTTTGAATTTTTTTTATAAAAAAAAAAATAACTTTTGAAATGAAATAGAATATTTTGTAAAATTAAAATATACATGATTTTTAAAAAACTTTAATAATCAATTAAATTACTTATTTAAATTTAATAATATATATTAAAATTTTATATACTATATAATTATTTTTCTATATATTATATTTATTTATTTTGTTTAAAAACTATTTTTCAATTATTAGAGTAAATCCAATTTAAGTGTTCAATTTCTTCGAATTAATAGGCTAATTCACAATTCTTTTATTATTAAATATTTTAATTTTATACACAAAGATATCTTCCTTCTTCTACTTCAAAAGAAAGCTTTCCTACTTTACATGAAGGACATTTCTTTAATATTTTTCCAAAAGTTCTTCCATGTGCATTTTAGATTATTAATTTAGCTTTAGTTATATTGTTTTATAGGCATATATTGTTGATATCAAGTTCGGATATTAGATAGTCTTTACTTTTTTGACTTAATATATAAATATTTCTTTTGAGTGTTTCTATTTATTGTGTTGAAAACGAGTTAGATTTAAGATATTTTTTAAATTGTTTTATTAGCTTTTATTATAATTTTTCATTTACTTATTTTATTTTTTTTGTCTTTTTATATAATGAGCTTTTTTATTATAGCTATTGTTTCATTGCAAAAAAAAAAAAAATTAGTTTTTTTTTTTTTTATAATTTTAATTAATTTTTTTTGTATTTAATATTACTTTTTCTCCTATTTTTTTAAATAAATATATTATTTTTTAGTATATAATTTAATAAATTAAAATAATAATAAAAAAAAAAAAAATATATGTATTTTAGATTTTATTTAAAAAAAAAAAAAATATAAACATAAGAAAAAATATTTAATTTTTTATAAAATAATTATCAGATAACAAAAGATTTTTATTTTAAATTTTTTTTCTATGAATTATTGATTAAAAAAACCGAAAGAAAAATAAAGATAATTATAATAAAAGTATCATTAAAAATGTATTTAGTTTATATTAAAATAATAATTAATTTCTAAATAAAGTAAATAATGATTTATAAATGATTTTTATTTATAATTTTTATTATAATAATATTTTTATATTTATTTTATTTATATTATATAATTCTTTAGTTTATTTTATAGAAAATTAATATAAATATACATAAATTTATATATTATAAGCAATATTATTATATTTTGAGTGTATTATATAAAAGAAATTATTAAAAGAAGTTATTTTACCTTGAAATAATTATAAATTGTGTTTTTCTATATTTATAAATTGTGTTTATCTATATAATAATATAATTATTTAAAAAAAAGTAAATAATAAAAATATTTTTTCATATATATGAATATAAGATAAATAAATAATATCTGTTTTTTCAATAATTTAAATGAATCAGATAAATGTTAATTATGCTTTTCTATATTTACTCAAATAAATAAATCGCATTTTTGTAAATAATGTTTTAGATAAATTTGTAATAAATGTGGTTTTAAAAAGTGTTATGTAATTTAAAAAAAAATATTACTAATGATATATAAAAAAAAATTAATGATTAAATAAATATATATGTAATTATAGAAATACGTATATATAAATATATATATATATATATATATATATTTAAATATATATATAGAAATTTTTTTTCTGATTCTACAATAATTTTATTATAATTTTCTAATTTATTTTATAATACAAAAGATAAAAGGATAAATTTAAGATATAATTAAAAAATATAGATTATGTAATAAATGCGATGAAGAATAATAAAGAATTAATGCTCTTATATAAAAAGTAGTCTATTATTTTAATAAAAAATTTATAATTCATTATTTTTTTAGAATTAATTAAATAATAATGGTAATTCTAAAATATAAGAAAATTGGATTTAATACTTGAACTTAAATAAGTATATATATTTTTTTTTTAAAAAAAACTATTTTATTTTTTACTAATTATATAGATAATCTATTCAAGAAGAATACTTAAATATATAAGAATAAATATAAAATGAAAAAGAATCTAATAGGTATACTGATTTATTGAAAGAAAGTATTAATAATACTCAATTATGCAATTATAATTTTTATTATTTTATAAATTGTTTAAAAATGGATAATGAAAAAAATAAAGATTAAATAATAAATATTTTGAATAGTTTTTAATTTCTATTTCCAGAGTTTAAAATAAAAATAGAAATGATAAATTTAATCTAATTTTTATTAATGTTTTGCGATGAAGCTATTTCTTTTAAAATATTTAGCATTTATTACACATTAATTTTACCTGATTACTTAACTTTTTAAGATGATGTTTATTTTGCTTAAATTAAAATGAAATTAAAGGAAAATTAATAATTAAAAGATAAAAACTTAAACTTTGATTTTATAACCAATAAGTTTATTACATATTGTTTATAATTATTTATTAACTTTATAAATGTGGAATTAAATATAAAAATTATTGATTTGGTTTTTTAGAGTAAATCAGTAAAATAATATTTAAAAAAAAAAAAAAAACTATAGAAAAATATTTTTTATTTTTTTTAGTTTTAAAAATTAGAAGAAATAATAATCTCATTAATAGGTAATAATTCTTAAAAATTAGTTAATTTAAATTATTTTGATAGAGAAATGCTATTATAGTCAAACTTTAATTAAATATTGTATTTTTTTTCAATTAAAATAAATATTTAAATATATTTTTAATAGAGAATAATAATATTCAAATTAAATTTAAATAAATAGTTGCCATAATTCCTTTTATAAAGATAAGAATAATTTAGATTGTGAAAAAATATATTTAAAGAACTAATTATAACAGAAAAATTAATTAATAAAAAAGAACTTGGAGAAAATAAGTGAACAGGAATATGAAATTAAATTATTATTATAAAATAATTTATTTTTAAAGAAAAAATTAATTATTAATAATAAATTATAGATGAAATAACTTTAAAAGTAATAAAATAATAAAAAGAAATAAAAAGCAAAAAATAAAACCTTAAAGATATTTTATCATAAATAAAAACTTAGATTTAAGACGGCACTTTTATTTCTTTATGTTAATAAAATGATTAATCTTAAGATGAAACAATAAATGATTTATAAAACATTACTTAAAAAATAAACATATCTGATATTCCTTTTAATATATAGCATTCAAGGTAGTCATCACAAATAACTGATTTTTTATAAAATAATAATATTTTGTAAGAATTATGCTCATAATAATAATAATAACAATAATAATAATAATAATAATAATAATAATAATAGTAATAAAAATTAAAGTAAATATAAAATCCATTAAATTCAATAAGTAAAGTTCAGGACTTTCTAATAAAATAAAATAATAATAATACAGAAGAGAAAATTATTGAAGAAACTAACAATATGTTTGTTGATTCAAATAGTGAAGATAATTATAGCAATTTCGATGAAAATAATCAAGAGTAAAAACAAGATAATTATTATAGTAATAACTTTAAAAATATATATTTTAATAATTATGAAGATAAAACTATAATTGAAAATTTAAATTAAGATAATAATAATGTTTTAAATGATTAATTGAATAGGTTGCTGTAATTAATTAAAATCGATAATTTTATTTAATTTAATTAAATTAGAATATTTAAGAATGAATATAAAAGAAATGAAATTTTTTGATTTTTAATATTATTTTTTTTAAAATATTGTTTAATTTATTATTTGTATATTTATATAATTTAATAATTTTTAAACAAAAATAAATAAATACTATACATGATAATAATAAATATAAATTAATATTTTTTATATTTGAATTTTTCATATTTTTATTATTTTCAGAATATACTAATTATTATATACTAGTAATTCTACATTATAAATATTGATAAATATAAAATATAATTAGAATTTACAATTAATAATACAATTTAATAAATTATTATATTCAAAAAACAAAAATTATAAAAAGAAAATTTCAATATAAATATAAAAAATTCGAATGTTTATATTAAAAAGTAAATAAAGAATTTTCTAAAATATCATATTATAAATTAAATTTATTTGATTATATTTTTAAAAAAGAATATATTTATTTTTTTGATGAATTATATATATTTATTGCTTATTTATAGATTTTTTTAGTTAAAACAATTAAAATAATTTTTTTTTTCTTTAAAAAAAATCTATTTAACATGGGAAATAAAGCTGGTTGTTGTGGCTAATTATTTCAATATAAAAATTAAAACAAGGAATAATGTAAAGACTTCTAGAATTCCTCATTATTTCCATTATAAACAACATCTGATAAATTAAATGTTTAAAATATATATGTATTTATTAAATAAAATATCCATTAAATATAATTATTTAAAAACAAAAAACAAAAAGTCAGACTTAAATTTAAATTTAACAACAAAAAATCGTGAATCTGATAATTTTTCATTCTAAAATTTAACATCATAATAATAACAATATTCAAATTAACATAAATAATACTAAAAACTATGTGAAATAGGTGAAGGTTCATATGGAAAAGTATTATAAGTAAAACATAAGGAGACTAATTAATAATATGCAATGAAAATAATTCGAAAAGATCGAGTTACAACAAATTAAAGAATAATGAAATCTACTTTATTGGAGAAAAATATACTTTTAAAAAGTAACCATCCATTCATTATTAAACTGTATTAATCTTTTTAATCATAATTTAAATTATATTTGGTAATTGAGTATATGCCAAATGGAGATATATATTCTATTTTATAACGAGTTCGTGTTTTTAACGAAAGTACAGCTAAATTTATTATTGTGTAAGTTATATTAGGAATCGAGTATTTGCATGAAAAAATCGGGGTTATGTATAGGGATTTAAAACCTGAAAATGTACTTATTGACGAATTAGGTTATATTAAATTAGCCGATTTCGGTTTAGCAAAAGAAATTGGCGAAGAAAATATTTCCTCAAAAGAAACTGCTCCTTTAGGGACTCCTTAATATTTGGCTCCTGAAATAGTTTTAAGAAAACCACATAAATAAAATGTAGGTAAAAATATATATTATTTATTATTATAAATATTAATTTTTTTTTTTTTTTTTTCATAAAAAATAAAATAAGACTTTTGGACTATAGGAATATTTTTATATGAAATGATTGCTGGAAGACCTCCTTTTTGTGCTAAAGGATAGTAAAATTTATATAAATAAATAATTTAAAATAATGTTCAATTTACTTCTAACTTTTCTTTCGAAGCTTAAGATTTTATCAAGAATTTACTTTAATCAAATCCTGAAATGAGAATTGGAGCTTAAGGATTCGATAGTATTAAAAAACATGCTTTTTTTTTTAATATAAATTGGAAATAAATAATTAATAAAGAATCTAAATCGCCTTTACTTTAATATACTAATTAATTAAAAATTATAAAAAAATAACAAAGAGAATAGTCTATATATGAAAGTCCAAAATCTACTAATGATATTATTAATTTTCCTTTATTTAGCTATGATCCTAAATAATCAAATTAAATATAAGAATAACTTTAATTTGATAAAAATTATTGAATTTTTGTTGTTGATTAGATAAGTATATAATAAAATATATTGGTTTTAAAATACAAAAATATATTTTTTTAAGTATAAATGTATATTTTATTATAATAATTAAATGTCGCTTATTTTCATAATTGATTTTTAATAATTTTTAAAAAAATAAAAAGTATTAAACATATGTGATTAAATATATATATATATATATATATATTTTTCATTATATTATATAATTTTATAATAAAATATTTAATATTATAATATATCATATCATTTAATAAAGTTTTATTAAAATTATTAATATCTATATGAAAATTAAATTTAATAAAATTATATTTTAATTAATATAAAACAAAAAAATATTTATAAAAATTTTAAATAATTTATTATTTAATACAAGTTAATATATAAGGAAAGTATAGTTATTAATAATTCTTTTATTAAATATTATTTTTTCGAAATAAAAAATGAATATATTAAATTACGATAATAATGACTAATAAAGTTATTTAAATTTGATAAGATAATATCTATTAAATGATGATTTAAAAAACAAACGAATAAAATCAAAAGACTTTAAAAGCCTACCGAAAAAAATAAAGAAAAAACCAACAATTTGGTTAATATAATTGATAATTCTAACAAAAAAATACTGATTTAAGAAAAAAACTCGAAAACAATATTTTTATAAATAAATGAAAGAAAGGATAACCTAAAAAATTAAAAAATGAAGAATAAAAATATATCAAAATTACTTTCAAAAGAAAATAATAATTTAAAATTATTTAAAATAAAAAAAAATTATAAAAAAATTTAAAAAATCCAAATTTATAAAAATTCAAAAATATTTCCCCAAAAAACTGTTTATAATATCACAAAATTAGTTCTTAATTAAGTCCCAAAATTGTCAATTAGATAATAGAATTTTTTAAATTTTATGTTCTGATGATTTATATATTATGTGTGTAAATTTAATTTATTAATATTTATAATAAGCATAAATGTTAATAGATATATTATTTTAATTTTAAAACATATGTATTTATTTTATATATTTAATGTTTAATATAATTATAATCTTCATTATATTAATTTTACTTAAATTTTTATTGTTTTTAAATATAAAAGAATCATACGACATATAAATTTAAATATTATAGAAGAAAAAAATCCACGTTTGGAATCAGACTAAATTTAATTAAATCTATGGAAGCTTAAATTCTTAATACTCTCAATTATAATATCGTTGGGAATTTAAATTATATATATTTGGGTTTTAGGAAGATTATGGCATATAGAATTTAATCTTTTGGGTTAAATGTGACTTTTTTTAATGAATTAATATTATATGACTATTTAATTTTTAAAAATATATACTTTTTGTAATATTCTATTTCCATTTTAAGGTTATGTTTTAGATAATGAATAAAAATAATAAATTAATTAATGTAGAATATAAAGTAAGATTATTAGTTTTATATATATATATATATATATTTATTTATATTTTTATAGACTCCATAAATTTTAAATAAATACAATTTGTTTTAATTTTTTGAAAAAAATATTTAATAATTTTTTTGAATTTTAATTTAATTTTTAAGGTTTTTTTGAAAAAAAAAAAAAAAGTTAAAGTTAAAGAAGTTTATATTAAAGTATTAAATTTTAAGATTAATAATAAAAAAATATCTTATTATTTTAAAGATTTAAATAATTATTTACTTATAAATATAAAAATAATTTTTATTTTGAAAGCTTTTAAAAAAACTAAACAAAAATTTAAAAATTAATTTTAAAAAGATAATTTTAAAAAAGAAATTTTCGATAAAAAAAAGGAAAATTAAAAAATATTATTTAGATATTTAAGATAATATATAAATAATTCATTTAAAATTTATAAATATTTCAATTTTTAATTATATACTTTTTTTTTTTACTTTGTAATGAAATTCTAGTCTATTATATAATATAATATAATATATATATTTAAAAGAATATGAAGTATATTTATTTATTATATTAATCAAAAATATAAATATTTAATTATAATTGAAAAAAATAATCCTGAAAATATATATAAACAAACTAATTTTTAATTATTTTCTTATTGTAAATCTTTAATTTATTTTTTAAATAGGGCCTCATCAATCATAAAAAATTACTTATTGGAGGTACTTTCTTTTATAATTTATTTTTAACTATCTTCATTTAATTCCATTTTAGCTTATAAATCATTAATAAGAATATTTTTTTATTTTAAATTATTTTATAATTATTCAATTTATTTATTTTATTCTAAAACAATATTTTAAAAGTACTAATTTTTTATTTAAATTTACTCATTTAAAGCTTATTAAATACTATATTTATTAACTAAATCAGTATTTGAGTGCTACAATGAATTTTTGAGAATATCAAGTAGTAAAATATCATCTATATTATAATAATTA